ATACGCACACTGTCCATCCCCGCCTTCAACGCCGTGTCGCCCGACAAGGAGAAGCCGGGTCCATTTTCCCCCCCCGCAAAGGGTGCTGGTGCCTTATTCTGGGGGGGGGGTTTCTCCCTAAAACAAATAACCGCCTCCCCACCCGCCTTCCTATCCTCCACGCCAGAAGTTGCGTCGAGCAAGGTTAGCGTTCTCTCTCTCTGTACTGTACTTTGTGTCATATTTTTGTGGTTTTAAAAAAAAATACATATGGTTCAGAACGGATTAACCGTAACTACATTGAACCTTATGGGAAAATTTGATTCGGGACGCGACCAAAATCGGGTCGCAACCAAATTTGGAGGGGTCAGAACGGATTAACCGTATTTACATTGAACCTTATGGGAAAATTTGATTCGGGACGCGACCAAAATCGGGTCGCAACCAAATTTGGAGGGGTCAGAACGGATTAACCGTATTTACATTGAACCTTATGGGAAAATTTGATTCGGGACGCGACCAAAATCGGGTCGCAACCAAATTTGGAGGGGTCAGAACGGATTAACCGTATTTACATTGAACCTTATGGGAAAATTTGATTCGGGTCGCGACCAATTCGGGTCGCGACCAGAGTCACGGAACGAATTAAGTTCATGAATCGAGTTACCACTGTATTTCAGAGCTTTAACAATTAATACCAGCACCTCAGGCTGGGAATAGAATGAACAGTTAGCCAATGCAACTGGCACAGAATACATGTAAGATGATATATACTTTATCTCCTATAGTAATTCCAGAATGCTGCATTCTACACCAGGTGCAATTTCCAGGCTAACTTAAAGGGCAGCCTCATGTAACTGGTATAACTGCAAATCTGTTTTATACCTAAAATGAGCTCAGTTTTCTATAAATTTGACTCCAGATGGCCAACAAACCAGAACTGATTTTAAAAAAAAGAAACAAACCCAAGACTGGGCACTGAGGCACTTTTGTCACCATGCTAAAGCACAAGAACTTCCTAACTGGCTCTTTAGAGAGAGTAACTGGTTCTTTGGGGGACTCCTATTCATTCATTTGCAAGGTTTCATCCATATCACCACATTATCCCTTCCCAGTTTAATCTGGTGATCTAGATTAGGTTTCCACAATAGATAATGGAACAGAGGTTGAACCGTCCATATAGTAATGTTGGATACCTCAAATTCAAAGTCAGCATCTTCTGAACTCATCCCTCCAGATAAGTAAGGCCAGAACCTTCCAACACAAGGAAATAATTCCCTGTGGATAGTACTGAAAACCTTTGAGAGATTCAGTAGATGCAACACAATTTCTTTTCTTGAACCTCCACACTATCCGCCAATGTAACCAAGGCTGGGATGTATTTAAATAAGTAGTTAGCTCAAAGCTTCAAATTGACAAGCCACTGCTTACTTTAGGAACATACTTAAGAATTATTATATTGGAAAATGTAATAGTTTTCCTGAAAAACAATCTTTTTTTTCCTGAAGTGCATTCATCAGTACCTTCTTAAAAAGAATTAGATTATTCCATTTTCAGTGAGATAGTCACTACTTCTTTTATGACATGGTTAACCCAGTTCTAGCAGATTTTACAATCCATCATGAGCAAGATTCAAAAGACCAAGTATAGTGGTACCTCGGTTCACGAACTTAATTCGTTCCGCGACTCTGGTCGCGACCCGAATTGGTCGCGACCCAAATCAAATTTTCCCATAAGGTTCA